AAAGTTATGTCTTTAACTTTTAACATATTATACTTAATATATTAGATTTAATATGTTGTTGTATTTAACCATTATCAGTTAAAGCTACAACTTTTAAACAGTTTTGATGAAATACGTAAATTGTTAATTTAAATATAAGATTACATGGTCAACTTAAATATATATTTCAGTTTCACTTAAAAAACCTAAAGAATATTTTGTAAATAGTTAAAAGTGATAAATTGTAGTGCTAAATGCAAAAACTAAATTGTAATCTCAATTTAACTAAAATATTTCCTAAAGATAATTTTATAATAATTAAATTTTTTCAAATAAGTAGCTTAATATAACTTACCATAAAAATAGTTAAAAATAACTTTATATAAATGATTATATTGTTACCTTTAAAAACAAAAAACAATGTTTGATATTTTAAATAATTACAATAATAGAAATTAAAATGTTAAACAAATAAATTTTAAAACGATTGATATTATGCAATTTTAATAGTTGTATATATTATCATATAATTCATAAATATTCAATATATTATATCAACTTAGTATATGAATTATTATATCAAATTTAACAACAACGCTATTATTATATTTAAGAAAACATATATTTGTGAAGACTTCAACTATATATGTGTTTCTGCGCAAGGCGCGGTCATTCGCCTTATAAAGGAAGCATTTTTCCTTTCACCACATTCATTTGAAACTCTCATGCATTTTTCCTTTCACCGCATTCATTTGAAACTCTCATGACTTTTCAATTTCTTTCTAATAATGATTATAAGTTGGTTAATAAGATTAAATAAATAATAAAACTAAAGTGTAATTATATATAAACTAAATTTCAATATCAAAAGAATATTTTTTACTTCTACTTATAAAGTTATGTTTTCTAACTTTTAACATATTATACTTAATTTATTAGTTTTAATATATTGTTGGATGTAAACCATTATCATTTTAAAGCTAGAACCTTTGAACAATTTGTATAAAATACTTAAATTATAAATTTAAATATATAACATTACAGGATCAACTTAAATATAAATTTTAGTTTAACTTAAATAACCCAAAGAATATTTTGTAAATAGTTAAAAATGATAAATTTTAGTGTCCTTCTAATAATGATTATAAGTTGGTTAATAATGTTAAATAAATTTCAAACTTAAAGTGTAATCATAATTAAACTAAATTTCAATATTAAAATAATATCTTTACTTCTACTTATAAATTTATGTTTTTAACTTTTAACATATTATACTTAATTTATTATATTTAATATGTTGTTGTATGTAAACCATTATCAGTTTAAAGCTGCAACTTTTGAACAGTTTGGACAAAATACTTCAATTGTTAATTTAAATATATTATTACAGTGTCAACTTAAATATAAATTTTGGTTTCACTTAAAAAATGTCACTCCCCCAAACCAGAACGGCCGAAATGTCTGGGGGCGGATGGAGTGACTTCATGTGACGTATCATAACAATTGAATATAAATGAAACATAGCAACACAAACATTCATACATTAATATTTAGTTTACATTGTTTACAACACTTGTTATGTTCAAATAAACATGAATAACAAAAGTAGAAAACATAATGCAGCGACGTCGGGCCTCGAACGTGGTGAATACATGTCTACTAGATCCCTGAGAATACAAGTCGTTTTGAAAAGCGTCAACTAAAAAGTTGGTGAGTTCATAAGCATTTTTGTAAGAAAGCTTTGTAATATTTGTGTTCATAGTAAGTTGTAAAACTCCAGAAAATCCAATATTTTCTCATAAAAGTAGTTTGTGAGTCTCGTTTCAAAAATCGTGTATAGTTGCATGCATGTTGTTCGTTTTCCTTGGTTTGTGTTAGCAATAATGTGTTCACAGAAAATCCTATATTTTCTGTTATGTGAAAAGTTGTGGTCTTAAAACCCTAAGACCGAAGTTGTGAAATCAGTTTACAAAATATACAAAACATAGTTTGGAATTTTATAAAACTGGCAGGGTGTATATCCTGTCCTTGCAAGGTAATATATATATATATATATATATATATATATATATATAT